CTCTCTCTCTATTTTTTTGTTTACTCTAAAGTGTGCACAATATACATATCGTGTGTTTGAATAGAAGAAATGTCTGTCTTTTAAATTATTATTGTTTTATTTTTATTTTTCAAGCTTTTGCTGTTTCATTATTTTGCTCTGCAGATGTTCAAATACATTTTAAAGTTGGCTTTGGTACAATCCATTTAGCTGGATTGAGCTTACTCTAAAGCTGTTCCACCTGTTTTCCATACTTCCAAACATATTTCCATATTGTGGTTACAAGAGCATATAAAAGGTGGAAATATGCAAACCATACAAAATTAATGACATCATTTCTATTCACATGCAGATTGTGAAATCGTGGGAAATGTCGATGGTGTGTGTCTGACCTACTCTAAAGATGGCCGCTCCACTGGCGAGGCCTTTATTGAGCTAAAAACGTCAGAAGATTACAAGAACGCTCTTGCCAAGGATCGTAAATACATGGGACACAGATACGTAGAAGGTAAGCAACTTATGCTCTTTTAACAAAAGGATAATTGTCAATGTTGTGCTGAGATGTACTTTTTCTGTTAGGTTTTTTATTTATTTATTTAATTTTCCTCTCCAGTTTGTGATATTAATGATTTATAGTTTGTGTGGTAACTCTTCTGTTGCGTTACTCATAAGTTCACTACAGAGTTGGACTTTCATCTGGGTAAATGTTATGTTTAGTCAGTTTTTTTTTTTTTACAAGTTTGTGGACTGTGATTTTTTTTTTTTGCTTAAATTATCTTTTCAAATGACAGACGTATTATTTGTATCTGTTTGTGTTTATTTGTGTGTCTGAATCAGTGTTTAAGTCAAAGCATAGTGAAATGGACTGGGTGCTGAAACGTAGCGGTCCTCCTCCTCCTGACAGCTGCAATGGCTGCGTAGTGAAATTGAGAGGGCTGCCATTTGGCTGCAGCAAGGAGGAAATTCTCCAGTTCTTTTCAGGTACATAAAGACTAAAATGTGTTTTTTATTTTTTGGAGTTTTTATAATTAAAGTACGTTGCATGTTGATCTAAAGTATTTTTGCACACTCATTGGTCATCTAGAGTTGCAAGTTTTCATTATTGACATTAGAATCTAATCATCCAAATAAAATACTCACCTTGTTAAGAGTCATTATTTTTACTGCCAATATTTTGTCTTGTAAATTTAGTCTAAGAAAAACATGCTCAAAATTCATACTGAGAAAGCCAAGGAAGTAGTTTATATAAATCACATTAAATTAAAATCAAGTGGCCTGGATTGATTGAAGAGTATTCCTGTTATTTATGTTATTGTTGCATCTGAACATTACGTTTCTGTAAATGTATAATAGGTAATGTTTCCTAAATAGTGCCTTATTTAGAAATATATGTTTCAAAAAAAAGTTAAAATGCTGCAATCTGCACTTTGATCGGGGCTTTCCACCTTGCAAAACAAACTAACACGACCCATTACCCTACAACTAAACTGCAGTGTTTGTGCTAGAGTCGTAAATTAACATTTTGCAGCAAATTGATTAGTTATGTGTCTTGTGCTTCTAAAGCCACAAAGCTCATAGCTGCTTGTTAGAGGTCATTATTTTATGTTTTTATGTTAATCCATTAATTACTGGCCTGTTGGGCTTGTTTGKCAAAAGACAGGCAGTTCCAGAAAACTGATCTGGAGTCAGTATTATTAGTTTTATGGCAGAGAGCCTCAATCTCAATTAATTAAAAATAAAAGTTTTAAATGGGAATAAATTAACATTATTTTAAAAATGATTTTAACATAATTAAAATTTGCTGTAACTTTACATTATAACTTTATATTTTGAGGTAGAAAATGTGATAAAAAATACTGTAAGTTGTAAACTGATTCCTGGCCAGTTTTTGTTTTATTTTACTCCAGGAGACAAGCAATTGTAAACCCAGACTCCTGACATTCTCACACTTAATGAAGTTTTACCAAATACTACATTTGTTTAGTCATGACACAGTAATCCTGAAAGATCCACTGATGCAGTGGGTGTTCTACTCATTCCTACCAGTCTACCTACCGACCTATGTATTTATGTGTGCTTGGGTTGAAGGGTTGAGAATCGTGCCAAATGGGATAACTCTGCCAATGGACTACCAGGGGAGGAGCACAGGGGAAGCCTTCGTGCAGTTTGCCTCAAAGGAGATAGCAGAAAAGGCTCTGGGGAAACACAAGGAAAGAATAGGGCACAGGTGGGACAGATGGGAGAGGGACGGGCTGGACTGGGCTGGGTTTCTATTTGGGCTTTTGATGGGTGATCATATTAGAACAATTGTGAAATTAATGGGATGGGTTCTGCTTTCGTTGAACAATAATGGGTTGGTTGGGTTTAAAAATGTTGGTAATGCATTAGAAACATGGACATTTAATTGGGTGGGGAAATGGTGTCATTTTATGTTTAAACTGTTTTGTGTTAGTCAGGACAACTGAAGATATCGAATGTTTCTTTCACTGATGCTAAATGAATAGAACAAATTAACAAAGATCTCTTAGAAAGACTTGTTTCACTGCAGGTAGCAGTAAAGCCCAGCTAACAATGAGATGTGTTTTTAAGGTTTAGACATTCAGATATCTTGTCCCTGTGTCAGTCATTTGTTTCTGTAAGCAGTCATCAGCCATTTCTGCATCTTAATCCTCTCCTGTGCTCCCCTTTTTATCCCACGGACCTCTCGCGTTGCAGGTACATAGAAATCTTTAAGAGCAGTCACTGGGAGATCAAATTCCATCATGACGTTCCCCGGCGGGGAATGGGAGGCCAGAGACCAGGGCCCTATGACAGGCCTGTGATGTCCGGCCCAAAGAGTGGGCTTTATGGGCCTGGTCGCAGTGGGACTCTGATGGACAACATGAGGAGTGGAGGTGGTTATGGAGGAGGTACAATGATATTTAATTATATCACATGTATATAAATTTAATCCCATATAACAAATAAAACCACGAGTTTTTACCGTTTATATTTAAAAAAAAAACCTTCATTAATGAGTTTCCTGGCCAACAAAAAGTTTTGTGATAAATTGTCTAGTTGTCAATTTTTTGGTTCTGTAAATAATTAATGGTTTAAAAAAGGTTTTGGCTTTTATGTTTTTATTATGTTATAAAGTTCTCTGTTTCTTCTCTGTGTCCAGGCTACAGTAGCTTTGACAACTACAATGGTTTCAGCAACTATTGTTATGGCAACGGCATGTTTGATGACCGAGTGAGAGAGCGGGGAATGAGAGGTAAAGTTCAAACATTAATGTCCTCAAGAGTTAAAGCATTTCCCCATGTTTGTTTCATTAATTTACATTTCAAACACTTGTAAACATTTACAGTTGGAACAACAATTTTAAACTTAAAGTTTGAGCTTTTACCTGAAAAACTATTTTATATGTGAGGAGTTTGCATCTATAAAACCTATTTATATGCTTCTGAAGAAAGTTATACGAATTATAAACACATCAGATTGTCATCCAACTAAYGACATGTTTCTCATATTGCATGCTTTAAAAATTTAGTGATTTAGTAGAGCTTAGAACAGCATTTTATACTAAAGTCCTTCCACGTTGTATACAGAAGTGGTTCGAAATTAAAGAAATAAAGTATGAATTAAGAAAGAAAGATTTATTTAAATAAAATCAAAGGTTAGGACAAATATTAAAAATAATTGTACCTCTGTTAGATGGATTTGTGTTTGGAATAACTCTTGTGAAGTTAAAACTGTTTTTTACTAACTAAATTTAAAATAATGTATAAAAACTATTTGTTACAGAAATATATCAAGTTTTGATCTGCTGCTGCTGGAGTTTTGTTACAAATTTTGTCAGAATTTCATTGGAGATTTTCTTTAATAAAATTTTATAGGCAAGATGTTGATTTGATTTTGGTAATGTAATGAAAAAGGGAAGATATAAAAGCTTAGGCTTCTACCTACACTTTTTTCCATCTATACCTTGACTTTTTGGCATTGACAGGAATTTAAAGATTATGTTTTTTCTGTAATGTTCTGTTTTGTTTTCATTGTTTTGTGCTGTTTTGTAAAGGGAAAATTTATAAATGACCAAAACAATTAAATAAGAGACAATATTAACATATKAAATGTTTCATTCTAATTGTGCATTTTTTATTTTTTGATGATGATTGTGTTTCTTTCCATCAGGAATTGGAGGCCACGGTTATAGTGGACACTCAGAAAGTAGCTCAGGTTTTCACAGTGGTCATTTTGTGCACATGAGGGGTTTGCCTTTCCGTGCCACAGAAGGAGACATTGCTAAAGTAAGAAAACAAGTTTRATTTTAGAATTACTCCCAAAAGAAATTAATTATCCTTTCCAAGGGACCAGCAAGTTAAACTGTAATTTGTCTAAAAAAAATAAGGGTTAAAGTTTTGTAAAAAAAAAAAAAAAAACCTCTGGTAACTGTTTGATTCCAGCTGTCTAAAGATCTACTTATTTTCTTCATTGGGATTTTTGGAATCATTAGTGTTCAGTCAAGTAACATCAATGTTGACAGAGAGGTTTTACTTAACAGATCCTGTCAAAGATTGTGATCATGACAGAATCTGCAGCTTCATAAACAGGATGTATCCACTGGGTTGTTTATTATTCATATATTAATCCCAACTGTTTTTTTTTTTATTATTTCAGTTCTTTGCTCCTTTGCATCCACTGAGAATTCACATCGACGTGGCACCTAACGGCAGATCAACTGGGGAGGCCGATGTGGAGTTTCGCACCCATGAAGACGCTGTGGCAGCCATGTCTAAGGACAAGAATAACATGCGTACGCTCCTTTTTTTCCTCTTTGGATCTTTTTTTATGTCTTGTAATTTTGACCGTGCTGATGTTTAATTGATATAAAAAATTATAAGACAACTTTATTTCTGCATGCCTGGACAAAATACAATATTATCATTCAGCAAACATTATTAAATTATATCTGGTRCCAGTGAGTGCTGCAGCATTAAACAGAATTGTTCAGGATAAATGACGCTGATGTTTTGTCCACAGAGCATCGTTATATTGAGCTCTTCCTGAACTCAACTGCTGGTGGAGCATCTGAAATGAGTGAGTTCATTTTTCAAGCAATTAAATCAATCAAGCTAATCATAAATATTTGTTCTAGTTGTGAGAAACACCTAAAGTTTATTTTACAAGCTCTTGTATCATTTTAGGTCGTGGCAGCTACTACGATTCAGGAGCCAGAAGCTCACGAAGCAGCGGGCTACGAGGCATTTACTGATGATGTCACGTCACTTTTCTGATACATCCTGGCTTTTATTTGTATTTCTTAAGGCCACGTTTAATCAACAAGCATTTCCTTAAGGAGGAAAGCTGTGTGACACGTTTTTCGGTGCAGGACTGATGTACTTCACCTGACATACAGTTCTTRTCAGCTGTACTATTTTCCACATCATAACCAAACCAAATGAAGAAACAGCTTCTTACCCTTAAAACGTAGAAGCTTTTATGTTTTCTTATTAGTGACAATTGGATATGTTATTAAAACTTTTTTTTTTTTTAAACTAGTTGCATCTTGTAATGGAAATCAAACATTTCCAGTTTGGTTTTAGTGCTCTTAACAGACTCAGTTTTCAGAACCAAGCCTTCTTCATAGATTGAATTGCCGTGGCGTTTGTTAAATGTTTAAAGAAAAGTCAGAYGGCGCCACAGCATCGTCATGTGGAATGTGATCAAACATGGATGAGACGTGAAGAATGACTACAAACCTTTCTTTATTCAGGCTCTTCTTTCTAAAAAAAAGGCCTGTTTTGTTTATTCAAGTTGAACTTTTTCTTTGTAAGACCATCTGGACACGGAAAGAAAAATTTATATCCAGTTTCAGATCAGTTTTCCTGGTTTGAATTCTTTCATAAACGGTGCGGTGTGCTTTTTATAAATGTTTTCACAGTTCTTTACAGAAGACTTGAGTTGAATATTGTGTTCCACTCTTAATGAGAGGAAGTGAAACAAAATCTCTATATTTGAGCTGTAACATAGCCTATGAAGCTGTTGTACATTTGCTTAATAAATTTTTTATGTAAATGTCTGTTTCTGACTTTGACCTCATGTGAAAATAAATTGCTCCAAGCCAAAAAAAAAAAAAGGAACCAAAGCGTCAGTGTTGGGTCACTTCAGAATCAATAAAAACTAGTCAGGATAACTTTTTCTGGCAATAAATTTAATAGTGGGACATGACTCTGACCTTTATTAACAGTATATACAATCTACTGTATCAACACTGTACAAGTCTTTAAAATAAAAAAGGTTTACAAAGTTAACACTGCACAAGAAAGAAAAATCTGGGTGCAGTTAAGAAATGTCCACTTGAAGTACTATCAAATAAAAGCTACATGGAAATAAATATTTCCAAATTGTAAACAGTTTATAACCGTGTGCTGCACCTGCAACCCATAATTCAAACTTACAACAAACAGGAAGTGTAGAGTTTCATACTTTGAATGAAGCAGCCTCTGATTTAACTAACTTCAAGTTTAAGACAGCTCAGGTAAACTACCTGAAATAATAATAATGTGCACAAATTTAAAACAGGRTTGGCAAGTGTTTCAGTGGTTCTTTATCAGAAACCTGCAGACTGAATGTTTCTAGATCTTTCTACAGCTTTCACTGCAGCAATTATAACTCCATGAAATGTTTAGGGTGCGCA